AGGGGTGCAGAGGACACAAGACTAGCCATAGCAGGTAATTACTTGGGGTCAACATGGATGTTCATTGTACTAAAAAGTTTGACAAGTTTTAGAATTAATTTTTAAAATACTGCTAAGCAGTAATGGTCTAGCATCACATTTTGTGCCTGCATGTGCTGTGCATTTTTTCACTTGTATAGAATTGGTGCCAGAAGCACTAACTCTGAATCTAACCTTGAGAGAAGAATTAGGTAAATTCAGGATGCATGACATTTTATAAGGCGTTTGTGCCTGGTTGTGCCTGATTATGGTCAGTTGTGAAATGGTGTCATAAAAAGCAGTCATCAGTAGAATAAGCACTTGCCTTGCAAGCGTAAGGTCCTGAGTTCAAATCCCAGTACCGCGGGAAAAAAAAAGAAAAAGAAAAAAAGCAGTCAAAAATAATGCATGAGCCTTGCTTGAATGGATCCTCTTGGCCCCTTAAAAGTTGTAAAGGGCATTCTGGTCAGTTATACAACTCCAGTACATTACTGCTACAGTTTCATCATTCAAATAATTATAGTAAATGATATTACTGAATTAATGTTAATTATTGTAGGTATGATTGTGGTTTTGCCATTCTCTAGAAAAGTTCCCTGTCCTGGGGAGTTGTATGCTGAAGGATTTTAAGACAAATTGGTGTGTGTGGGGCTGGTGAGATGGCGCAGTGGTCTAAAGCACCTACTTAGAACAAGCTAAGCTAAACAAAGCACATGGACCGCGGTTCAATCCCCCAGCACCACATGCCAGCCAGCCCCGCCCCCTGGTGGGCTGAGCCGGCCACACACACACAAAATAAATAAATATTAAAAACAAAACAAAACAAAACAAAAAAACAAATTGGTGTGTGTGCAAATAACGTTAGGGTGTGTAGGTGCATGTTCCTTAGGTCGGCTCATGTGACACCGGAGCGGTGCTGATGCAGCCCCATTAGTCACAGCGGCGGGGGGGCTGTGGCGTGGGTGCCTCGGTGGGCTGTTCTCATGATGGGAAGCTCTGAAAGCTTCGCCCTCACTGGTCTGTGGTTTAGCTGAATGCTTGTTGAAAGGGGAAGGAAAAAAACATACAGAGACAAATGCTGGCTCTTAGTGAAGACTGTAGCTGTTTCTGATTTTTTAAAAAATTACATTTCTGGGCTGGGGAGATGGCTCAGTGGAATAAGCGCTTCTCTGGCAAGCACAAGGGCCTGAGTTCAATCCCCGGTTCTGCCAGGGGGAAAACAAAACAAAACAAAACATTTCTATGTATTGAACTTATTGAAAAATGGGAGAAAGAAAGAATTTCCAGAGAAATATTATTTGTTACATTAAGTGTGTTGACAGCGTTCTCTGCGGGAGTAATTGCGTCAATAGCATTTAAATTCTCTCGGAATTCTGCAGTTACTTAAATTGCTCCCGGGTATAGGAAAAGAGGGAACACTTCAGTTTCATTGTATGAACTTTTACATCCGCATCAACATATGACAACAGAAAGAGAATGTAGGTTGAGATTGTTTAAGAAAAGAGGCGCTTAACATTTGAGGAAAGCTTTTTTTTTTTTTTTTTTAAATATGTGAATGGTATCAAAGAGGAAAAAGATCCTTGGTTTCTCAGAAACTGATGCTTGTTTTCTTTCTCTTCCCTCCCACCCCTTGACTGTCCCTGTCAAGAAATCAAAAATGGTTTCTGTGTAGGCATGGCCTCACCATTCTGCGTGAGGCAGGGCTTGTGTGTAGAATGGGAAGAAATCTTTTCTCACTGTCCTCTGCTGAGGCTGCAGCTGAAGCCATTGTTGTTCAGGGTTACCGGGCTTCTGGGTGGCCATGGCGATGTGACAGGACAGTGGTGGTGAGTCCTGCTCTCCTCCAGGGATCCAAGTGATTGCAGCAGCCCCAGTTTTCTCCTTTTCTTTTGAATCGCAAACAGATCCCTAAAGAAGTAGCTGACATCTTTAACGCCCCCAGTGATGATGAAGAATTCCTTGGCTTCCGAGATGATGTTCCCATGGCAACTCTGTCCTCAGAGGAGAGCTACGATAGTTTTGACTCACTGGAGTTGAGAAAACAGGTACAGATGCGTCTTTCCGAGCGGGTGTGTTCACCTGGGAGCCTGCTTTTTGGTTTGGAATGTTCTTGTATTCCCCAGCGTGGCCTAAGATTGGTGATATCAGTTACTGAGCAGTGTAATTTTGTAGCATTATGCCTTCGTATTTTAAGGAGCTGGCAAGAGAATTCTGTTCATGTTTGTTTTAATCCTGCCCATTAAAATAACATTTTTTCAATAAAAGGGCCTCACATGATCAGATCTATATTCTTGGTTGTCACTGGGATGAGGCTGTTTGCAGAATCCTCCCACGCAGCTGACAGGGAGGGTGGCCTGCCTCGCAGGCCTGCACCATGTGTGGAGCGAGGCACATGCGCAATGTGCGGGGACTGAGACAGTTGTCTCGTGTGGTCCTGCAGTGAGAGTGTATCAGTACCTCACTCTTGCAAACTGCTGGGGAGAGCATTATTCTTTCTTTAGTTACTTTGATCAGTAGCAAACACAAGTTAACAGTTCTCTGAGAGCGGCCTGGATGCCTGTGCTGTGCCTTAGCTGTGGAAGGGCCAATCAAAACATTTAGCCTGATTCAGTGGCTTTTTTTCTGAGTTCATTGTAACACTTAAAGCTCCTCATTCTCCCTCTTACCACAGCTTCTCTGCAAAGAATACTGTACACTAGAGCCCCCTGCTTCAGCGGGGCCGACCCAAGCAGGGAAGCCCCTAGAACGCTGTGCAGGAGAGCCTGGTCTCCACACGTGTTCTGGCCTCCGTGGCGCTGTGCTCTTGGGAGCTGCCGGCCTCCCCGGTCTCTGGGCACATCTTATTTGGTGTTTCCACAGCATTGGACCTACAGGTCACTTCCATTCACTTCTCCAGTTCACCCTCTCTGCCAGACCTTGTGCTGTGTGCTCTCATCTTTTTCCTGTCCCTACATGTGGGTATTTCCTAACACTTTGTGCTTGACCTTTGTACTATTTGCAATCTCATCGATATCAACTGCTCCGCTTGTGGCTGCATGCATTTTACGTGTGCAGCTCAGCACCAGACCTATTTCTGATGGCGCTAAGTTACTCGCGGGACAGCCGAAGCTCACTGTTATTCCTCCCGTGCTTGTTAGTCTGACTTCCCCATCTGCAGTTCTTGAGCCTTCCTCTGCTCTTCTCCCTGCTCCTTCCCACCTCCCTGCCTCTCCCCTCCAGGAGCCAAGGACAGGGGTGTGCACACCTTCCCTCCTCTCCCTTCTGCTGTTGCCCTCGCCCCTCACCCTTCCTGCTGGGATCCGCCAGTGACCAGGTTGGGCATTGAGCAAGCACACAGCTGTCAGATCTCCTCCCTGTGCACAGCCTGGCACATGGTGGGCATTGAGAAGTGGCACTGGTGTTTTTGCTGTGTGCCAGCTGCTCTCCTAGTCACAATGTGCTGTGACATTGTGCCATGTGCTTTTCTTGTGGACCCTGCACTTCTCCGTGGACCTCCTGGGCAGGTGGGGGTGTTGCTGCTGTCCCATTTTACAGTAGATGAAATTGAAGCAGAGGGAGGGAAGGCTTGATGAAGGTGCCTCACCTCTGAGTGCGCAGTGCAGGTGTTCAGGAGCAGGGCTGCAGCTGGAAGCTGTCACCCTCTTCAGCTCCCTTAACTCCCTGCTGCGCTTCCAAGACTGGAACTGGGTCAATCCCCTCACTGGGCGCAGTTCTGCTCTCCGTCCATGGCTCCCAGTTGCCTCCTGTGTGCTTACTGTCTTCCTAGCCTTCGTGCTGGTTCAGGTCCACCTGAGCCGCTCTGCTTCCAGACTCTTCCCCTTGGTGCGCTGTGTTGCATGTGTCCTCCTGGCGCCCCTGGCTCTCCCCATTCTCTGATGGACTTGTCTGGCTCCCCTCCTCGATTACACGTGCCCTCACGAGGCTCTCCATCACAAACTTGATGGAGCGTTCTCGCTTCCCTGACTCTGACTTTTTGTCCCTTCCCTTCTCTTTCCAGCTCCCAGCATGCTTCTGACTTTACCCTGTGAGCGCTGGTAGGCGAGTGGTGGTGCAGTTAAAGTGTGAGCTGTCACACTGGCTCTGCAGGCCATTGCTCTCGGCCTGTTGTCATGTCACACAGATCTCAGAACAAATGGGACCACCTGTGGCACTGCCCCTTCAAACCTGATACTTGCTTAAGGCTGTGGTCCCAGTGGCTGCAGGTGGCCGAGGCCCACAGCATAGGACCCTGTATTGATTTTGAAGAAAAGCAAACACATTCTGGAGAGCACGTGGCTGTGTGGACTGTGCGGCCCACAGTGCAGTGGGAGTCTAGCTACATACTGGCTGCACACACACACAAGGGAAAACTGTCTGAGGCCAGAATAAAGGATAGAAGAGCCACAAGGATTGGAAAGTTGGGCCCACGGCTCTAAGGCTTGATCTGTTCGCCACAGGCCCTAGGGGGAGCTTTGGATATTTCATGAAATGCAGACAGACCCCCATCGTCCTAGAACAGGCTGCAGGGGCTGAGCTGGTGTTCCCAGACCCCAGGTGCGTGGTGGCTTCCCTAGAAATGTCCAGCTGTGCTCCAGGCTCTGCCTCATTGAGGAGCCCGGTCTCCTGCTCGGCGGCCCCACACACTGCGATCCGCTTTAACCAGCTGGGCGAGTCGTCATTGGAGCACACAGTGCACATAGCTGACCCTGGATCCCTTTAACACATTTAAATTTCTTTTTTCTTTTTCTTTTTTTTTTTTTTAACTATAAGCCAATTTTATTTAAATCAGGACTGTCCAACAAAAATATTCTGTCAGCCACTCATGATCTGAATTCTGGTATATGAGATTAAATTATGGTACACATACAAAAGCCATGAGACATTTCTGTTCTGTAATAAATAAGGCGTGACTGTTATTCATTAGTAGTCTTTTTGAGGTAAGCTATTAAGTCTGCCCTTTCTCCCTTCTTGATGCCAGCAAAGATAATTTTTGTTCCTGGGATGTACTTCTTGGGATTCTCCAAATACTCCATCAATGTATCCTCTCCCCAGGTGATACTTTTGTTCTTGTTGGCATCTGTGTAAGAGAAGCCAGCAGCCTGACCTGTCTTCCGCCCAAAGAGACCATGGAGATTTGGCCCAGTCTTGTGCTTGCCTCCCTTCTCAACAGTGTGGCACTGGGCACACTTCTGTACAAAAATTTTCTTGCCTTTCTCTCTCTCTTTTTTTTTTTTTTTTTTTTTTTTTTGGCGGAACCAGGGATTGAACTCAGGCCCTTGCACTTGCCAGGGAAGCGCTTATTCCACTGAGCCATCTCCCCAGCTCCGTCTTGCCTTTCTCAACATCACTCATTTTTAAACCTGCTGCAGCTTCCGCCCCGGGTGGTCACCAGTCTTCCCTTGTTACCACAAAGGAAGTTCTAGTGCAGAACCTGACGTCCCGCTCTCTTTAAATTTCATTTAAAAAAGAGAAATGACCGTTTTTTCTGTATTTTTTTTTTTCCCCAAGCAGCTGGACCTCAGCTATCAACAAAGGAACAAAGTAATTTAGCTCTGAGCAGACTCACTCCAATTACCCATAATTCATAGGAGAAATTTTTAAGCTTGAAGAATGCTGGATGCAGGCTTCTCTTTCTCTGTCCTTGTTTTTCTGCTCATCTATTACATCTTTTTTTTTTTCCCAAAGATATCTGAGCTTGATGAAGTATATAATTAGAGTCGGGAAGGAAAGTAGAAAGGAGACCCAGGCCAGGCGGTGTCAGGTGGGGTTGTCGCTGTATGGGGGGGTGGGAGCCGCAGGTGGCTGCGGATCTGGAGTTGGAAGCCCCGGCGGAGTGTTGGGGCTCGCAGAAGACTGCGGGGTGGGGAGGAGGGCTCTTCAGTTCTGCAGCTCTTTTTCTGTCTTTTCTTTCAGACATAATATTAAAAGAACTGTGTTCCCTTTTACCATAGGATACCCAAAGAACAAAGCAGTCATTATAGGGGTAGAAATAAAGTTCATGAATAGAAATCAAATTGCACAGGAAATACTTGAAAGAATTAACAACTGGGACTACCTCTTGTTGAGAAGTTTTTGCATGTCAAAAGAAATTATCAACAAAGTGAAAAGACAACTCACAAACTTTGAAAAAATCTTAACTAATAAACATTCAAAGGTCTGCTATCTAGAATTTATAAAGAACTAAAGAATATTAGGGCCCCTAAATTTAAAGACCCAATCCAGAAATGGGCATCTGAGATGAACACAAACTTCTCAGAGGATGAAATTAAGCAAATAAATATATGAAAAGGTGCTCCTCATCACTAACCATCCATGAAATGCAAATTAAAACAACACTGAGATACCATCTCACCCCAGAAAGATTGGCTATCATAAGGAAATCAACCAACAACAAATGTTGGAGAGGCTGTGGGGGAAGGGAAACCCTTCTCCACTGTTGGTAGGAGTGTAGACTGGTGCAACCGTTAGGGAAATCAGTGTGGAGACTCCTTAGAAAACTAGGACTGGAAATCCCATTTAAATCAGCTATTCCTCTACTGGGAATTTTCCCAGAGGAACTGAAAACATCATATCATAGGGATATATGTGTACCTATGTTTATAGCAGCACAATTTGTGATAGCCAGGTCTTGGAAACAACCAAGATGCCCGTCACATGTGGAATGGTTGAAAAGATGTGGTACTTTTATATAATAGAGTACTACTCAGCTATAAAGAATGATAAACTGGAAGCCTTCATATTTAAGTGGATGCCGCTTGAAGATATACTTATTAGTGAAATAAACCAGACCCACATCTGTAAATATCGTATTATCTCCCTAGTCTAAGGACTTACAATTCCATATATGGTTAGGTTTCTAAATTTCATTATTGGGAAATAGCTTTAGTTTTTTTTCTTTTTTGCAGTTCTGTGGACTAAACCCCGGCCCTTTGCACTGAGCAGTTTGCCTGCTCCTTTTAGATTTCTTTCATATTGAGACCAGTCTTGCAGATTTTCCCAGGAGGGACTCACACCTGCCGTCTGCCTCAGCCTCCTGAGTGCTGGGATTATAGCTGTGCACAGCTGTGCTCGGCTCATAACTTTAAGATGAGTCAGGTAGCATCTACCCTCTGCTCACCTGCGGTGGGCACTCACCTCTCACTGCCTGTGGGATGGGCACATGCGGGCCCAGGAGGGTGGCATCGTGCCTCACTGTCTGGCCATGGAGCGAGTCCCCTCTGGCCTGCAGTGGTTGAGGGCTGTGAGGGTCCCAGCCCTAGAGGGGAGGCAGGCTCACCCTTGGAGTGGCACAGGTTCAGGGTGTGGTGAGGGAGGAAACCTTCATGGAAGGGAGTCGGGCTCTCAGCGCAGGCCTGCTTTCCCTTCTTGTGTTTGTTCCCTATGAAAGCAGATATTGATGGTTTCCAGCTTTGCATGTGTAGGAGAAGCTGGATTCCCTCAACACTTGCCGGTCCTGCCTGAAGTCTCTCAGCTCACAGTCATTTTGATATTTTAGAAACTGTCCAATGTATAGGTCTTTTTGTGTGTGTGCTAATGGGAATTCAGCCCAGAGCCTTCACCCTGAGCTGCATGCCCATCCCTTTTAGTTTTTTTTGAGACAGTGTCTCACTAAGTGCCCCAGGTGGAACTTGAACTATGATCCTCCTGCCTCAGCCTCCCTAGTGGTGGGATTACAGGTGCATGGTACTCCCACCTAACTTGTACATCTTAATTTCTGTAAGCTTTAAGAAAATGTGTGTGTTTTTTGTGGTAAAATGTATATAACAAAATTTTTCATACTGTCCATTTTAAGTGTATAGTTCAGTGGCATTCAGTAGATTTACCATTTTTACCATAATTGTCACTGCTGTCTGTCTCCAGAACCTACAGAAACCTGTGCCCATTGAACTCCAGTTCTGCACTCTTGCTTCCCCGTAAGCTCTACTTCCTGTCTTTATCATATGTGCACGTTTTTAACCTGGCAGGGTATGCATTTTCAGTCTGAATACTTCACGGATGAACTAAGAAGAATTTTTATAGAAGACACGGACTCAGATATGGAAGACTTTGAAGGATTTACGCAGAGTGAGCTGAACATAAAGAGCAACCCAGAAGTTTCGGTAACGCGTCAACACCGGGGCTGCGGGCTGAGTATTTCTAGTCCTGTTTCTGAATTGTGGCTTTACCTCTAAGAAGTTGTTGAAGTCAGGAGTGGTGGCCATGCCTGTCATCCCAGGTCTCCGGGAGGCTGAGGCAGGAAGACCTGAAGTTTGAGCCCAGCCTGGATATCTAATGCCTGGGTATTTTAGTGACTGAAGGAGACCCAATCTTAAAAATACAAAATAGGGGCAAAGGATTTAGCTTAGTGGTGCAGCACCTGCTCGGCAAATGTGAGGGCCTAAGTTTGATTCTTGGTACCACTCAAAAAATATACAAGTCCCAGATTTTTAGGGCAGGCCAGATAGCTCAGTGGATTAAGGTGCCTGCAAGCAGGTGCAGGGGGCAGGGGTTCAATGCCTGGGCCTGCCGTGCCAGCCTAAACCCAGGGGTGCACTGAGAAGGCAATTGAGACTGGATGGGGTGGCACATGCCTGTAATCCCAGCACTTGGGAGGCTGTAAACAGGCGGATCACTACAAGTCTGATCTAGGACCCTGAACACCCTGTAGACCGTTCCCTAAAATACGGGGGGAAAAAAAGCTGGGGAGCTGGGGAGTTGTTTAAGCCTGCTTGTGCAAATCCAGTTAGGTGCAAGGGACCGCAGTTCAATCCCCAGCTCCACATGCCTGATCAGACCTGTCTTTAAGGAAGCCTGAACCAGCCAAAAAGTAAATAAAAAATAAAATCAAAAGGAGCTAGGGAATGAAAAGATTGAACTTTATTTTATAAGCCGATTAACATATATAATAATGGCTACTGTAAGGCTGATCTCTGGTCTGCTAGTCATTCATCTCAGAGAAAATCCACTTGTCTTTGCCCTGTGCCTTGGGGACGCCCCAGGGTCCTGGCCTGTCCTTATTGCAGTTTACGCCAGGGTTTCTTGAGCTTGTGTTTCTGTCTTGCGGTGACACATCCATTCCAGCCCTTTCCTGTTTTGTGTAAAGTCATAGTCATGGGTTTAAGTTTAGTTTAGTCGCCATGCAGCCGTGGTGCAGACGCAGAGGTGCCTTGGGTGCTCACATCTTTGGTGTTCATGGGGGCCCAGGCCTCCTGGACTCTGGGAGATCTGCTCTCAGCGCCTCCACTCAGAGACCAGGCGGTCAATCTGTTTCTTTTCTTTTCATATATTGAGGCCAGTTTTCTGCTCACTAGTATTTGAATCTTAATGACTTTAAAGCACAATATCTGTGTATGTGTAAATACATAAATGTTTTTAGAATACAGCTGGCCAAACAGTTCAGCAGATTAAAGCACCTGCAAGCAGGTGCAGGGGCTGGGGATTCGATCCCAGGGCCTGGTGTGCTGGCCCTGCCCCCCGGGGCACGCTGAACTGGCACTTGAGACTGGGCGTGGTGGCACGTGCCTATAATCCCAGCTCTTGGGAGGCTGTAAACAGGTGGATCACTACAAGTCTGATCTAATAGTGAGACCCTGAACACCCTGTCGACCCTTCCCTAAAATACAAAAAACCCCTATGTTTTTAGAATGATTTGGGGTTTTTTTTGGCTGGCTCAGACTGCCTTAAGGACAGGTCTGGCAGTGCAGGGGGAAGTGGGGGCTGAACCGACATACCCTGTGCCTGAGTATATTTGCATGAGCAGGTGCTTAAACAACTAAGCTAATGGGGAGGCTCCCCAAAAATGTTTTTAAAATAATGTTAGATTTGCAAAATTACAAAGGCAGTGCAGATAGTCCCTGCATGATTGACCTCATTTTCCCTTGCATAATTGACTCATGTCAGTCAACTAAGAAGGCAATTTTAGTATATTACTATTCAAGATTTTTGAGATTTTATCGTTTTCCATGAATGTTCTCTTTATGTCCTAGATTCTAATCTAAAATAGTACCTTGCATTTAGCCTTTTTTTTTTTCATTTTTAGAATTTAAAATAGTTTGTAGGTGATACATAAAAATGGCAGGGTTTGTTTTGGGTTCCAAAATGTCTTCTAAATTTCAGAAGTTTTTGGTTGTTTATTCAGGAATTAAACACAAGGATTCCTCCTTGGTGTCACTGTGGGGATGGTCAGAGCTGTGCAGAGTCAGCAGCTCCTAGGGAATGGCTTTGGCATGGCACGTGTGGCCAGATAAGTGCTGTGACTGGTGGGCTCTGCTCCTCACCCTCCCCAGGGAGACGTGGAATGAGAGCCCTAAGGCGGGACTGGTTTGATGTCTTTCTTTGCTGGATGGCAGGATGGCAGCATAGAGCTGCGCCAAGTCTGGAGGACCTCAGCTCTGCTATGGCTTTCCCCTTCCTCCCTTTTTCCTCCACCCTCCTTCCCTTTCTCCTTCCCCATCTCTCCCTCTCTCCTTTCTGTCTCTTCTGCAGACACTGTTTGTGGGTTCTGACCAGTATATCTCATCTCCAGTTCCTTGTCAGCAAAACAGATTCTTGCAAAGCTACTGGGTGTCATCTCTTAGTGGCTTACTGGTCTTCTGTCCTTCAGCTAAGTGATGTCTACTTAGCTAGAAAATGTTGTATTTCTAGTGAGGGGCAGTGAATTACACAGAAGTCTTGCTCCCTGCTCAGGGTCTCTTAGGTATGACTCATGATGTGCTGCCTGTACCAGCCCAGTGAGGGCACCCTGCAGGTGTTATTTCAGAATTCAGCCCTGCAGCCCAGCCTCCTGCGCCTGCTCCTGAAATCCTCCCAGCAGGATGCTGCCATGACCTTGGTTTCTCGTGGTCCCTAGCCAGAAGGGAAGTGGTCACAGCCGAAGTGCTGGCCTTGTGCTCTTCTCCTGGGGTTCCGCTCGGGACCAGTGCTAACGCTTTGCTTTTTCTTTATGTCATCAGTCCTTTGGAGTGAGCTGTTCCATGTCCTTGGTTTAGAGGACTGGGGTAGATGATAATTTGATAGAGAAGTAGAGCAAATCTTACATTCTTTCTGACAGCATTCCCAAGATGGGATTCGTCTGCATGCCTCTCACAACCCCCATTTTGAATTATGAAGCTACTAATATGAAGTCAGAGTGTGAACCGCTCTTACTCCTCCACTTGGCATGGTGTGGATTGGTGCCAGTGTTGGCAGCCATCTGCATTTTTTTCTTCCCTCTCATTTCTGCTCAGAGTCCCACTAGAATTTAGGAAGTCACTGAGGGGAAGGTGGTGTAGCCTGGGTCCTTGGTCCCTCCTGTCGCTGCTGTATCTGTGGTGGCCCACCTTAGGACTCCATGGGCAGTTTGCAGGCTGTCTCTCCCCTTGTATAGAAAGGATGCAGAGATGACCTTGAACTTGAGTAAATCTCTCTGTGCTGTGGTTGCCAAGGCCCAGTATCTCAGGTGTTCTCTCACTGTCGCCTGGATGGTGTTACCCGTTCTGAGTTCTCACGTGACTCCGAGTGCAGTTTGAATGCTGGACTGATTTTGAGCATGTGGTGGTTGGAACTTTGCAATGAGATTGGGGTGAGAATTTCTTGAACTGTCTGATTTCATTTCACCCTGTGTGGTTTGGATGGTGACAGAAAAGAGGGCCTGAGTGCCTTTGGCGACCCTCCAAAGGGTCCTGAGGATGCCTGTCCCCACTAACCCCCTGGAAGTCCCTCTGCCTGCCTTGGTCACTGCACCAGGGTGGGTCTGTTGCTGCTCTTGGTTGGAACGGCTCGGTACTCCCCACCCAAGCTCCCCATTTCATCTCAAGCTACCTCTGTTGTCATGCTTGCCCTTTTTTCCAACTCTTCCTCCCTTGACCTAGCTTCTGGGTGTGCCAGCCTGGTTGTTCAGGGTGGGGTGGAGGAGCCCCACTTGTCAGCGATTGCTCACAGCTTATCTCCTTCCCTGATGGGACAGTGTGTCAGTAGTGTGACGCGTGTGCAGTTCAGGAGTTGACTGCTTGCACTTCGCTTTCATTCATCAAAAAAAAATTGTGTGTATTTAACTGAAGCGCTCAGGAAGCAGTGATGAGAAGCGGCATTTCACTGCTGCTTCCAAAGTAGTATCTGAGTCCTTTGAATGAATGGGTGTGGGGAGGCGGAGAGCTGCTACAGAGCGTGCCATCGCTCTTGTGTTTCCGTAGCTCGTGGAGTCAGACTTGAGTGACAGCGGTGAAGCCTCTCTGGTGAGTGAGGAAGAGGATCATGAAGAAAAGCCTGCACCCCAAAGAGGCAGGCCTAGAAGCAGCAGCCTTGGCCTTCGAGTAGCCTTTCAGTTTCCCTCTAAGAGACTGGCAAAGCAGCCAGATAAAAGTAGTTCTTCTGAGTTGTTTTCTAGCCCATACTTACAGGACAGTAAAAAAGTGACTGGAAGGAAGAAAATGTGCAGACAGTTGACGGAAGGGGAGCTTTCGGGCTCTGAGTCTGAGGATGGCTCCAGGGATGAGCGCCAGGAGGGCTCGGATGCGCTGCGGAGGAGGACCTCGAACATCCAGGAGAACAAGGCCGTGGTGAGGCTCCAGCTGCTGCCTTGGGGCGGACAAGCTCGGGGATGGTTGTGTGTCCTTTTTCTTTGCACACCTAAAGCACTGTTACACTGTATGTCAGCTGTGATTTGGGACTAGAAAGAGGCTGTCAGGACTGTTCATTTATGGCCTCTGCGATGCAGTAGCCACTGGTGCTGCGTAGTGTGGCTGTTTCAGTTCCATCTCAGCAGTGGGATTGGGGATGAGGAGGGCTGGACAGCTGTACTGTCCCCTCAGAAAGAAGCACAGAGGCACCAGGATGGTCACGAGTCAGGAAGCGTTGCCGTGGGCAGGGCAGCCGGCGGCTGTGCCTGGAAACCACTCTATGTGGAGAGGTCATTTGAAGAATGGGGAAGGTCTAGGATTAAGCAGCTTAGTTCATTATGTTTGTCAGAACATTTTATAGAACGCAGTGGATTTTCCTATTTGGTTCTGTATATGATCATTAGCTTCATTTGATCATTTTTGAGAATCACCATTTGCTTCATAATTTTGTATTGACAGAATTCTAAGTTCTCAGGCAGGTGAGATAGCTCAGCGGACTAGGCACCTGCTTAGGCAAGTGTGGGGACTGGGGTTTGATCCCCAGCACCACATGCCGTGCCACCCTTGTCCCCAGGCACGCTGAGCCGGCCACCGAGACCGAGCTGGTGGCACTCGCCTCTAATCCCAGCGCTGGGGAGGCTGAAAACAGGAGGATCAGTACGAGTCTGAGCTGTGTAGTGGGACCCTACACCAAATACATTAAAAAAATTCTGAGTTTTCATTTTGGTGTATTTTTCATATTTTCCTTTAAAAAGCATAGATAGTGATATTGCATGTACAGACATGACTCTGATAAGAAAATAACTTTTAGGATAGTTTTTATGTAAGAAACATTTGTGCTTGGCTAAGGGAAATTTTTAACACTTTGTCTTTTCAGTAAAAACTATATTCTAGGTGATTTTTTTTTTTTTTTTAGTGGTATCCTTTTATTTGTATACATCTAAAATTAATCCTAAAAAGAAGGGGTTGGTGAATGAAAGCAAGAGACAGGAAAAGGAATATTGTGGGACTGTCCTCCTTCAAGGTTGTATACGGTTAGTTTTTTGGACTTACGTGTAAACATAAGTATATAGTTATTTATGCCTATTTTAAAAATATATTCTAATTTTTAAATTTTTTTAATCATATTCGGTAGGGACTTAAAGTTCAACATATCAATACTTGATGAAAAATACCTGTTCCAGGGGCTGGCGAGATGGCTCAGTGGTCTAAAGCACCTACTTGGAACAAGCTTGGGAAAGAACAGGGACTGTGGTTCGATCCCCCAGCACCACATGCCAGCCAGCCCCGCCCCCTGGTGGGCTGAGCTGGCCATACACACACTAAATAAATAAATAAATGTTAAAAAAAAAAAGAAAGAAAAATACCTGTTCCATGTTATGCCTAAGATGTTTGATTTTCAGACATATAGTGAGGTTAAGCTTAACAACCTAAGTTGTATGGTAATAACAATAAGCTTGTCTTCTGAATGGTTAACAACCTAAGTTTGCAGACCAAATTAGAGAAAAAGGAGGGCGGCAAAGAAAGCCAACTTTTGGCCCTAGTCTTCCAAGGTCAATTAAGACTCAGGACATAGGAGAACTTGTACTGTTACATCATGTAACTCAGTAGTGTCCCAAATTTTCTGATCAAGGAGATAATGGGGCCAAAGAGGAAAGTGATCGATGACGTAGAGTGTGCCTAAGGAGAGTCACATGGGGAGAAGACACTCTCTCAGGCTTTCACAGAGAGCACATTGGCCAAGCAATGGCCGTGACTCATCCACATGACTGACACTGACAAAGGTTCTACAATCTGAGGTACAGGATCTCAAGATAAATCCTGAGGGCATTTCACTGACCTTCGCAGACCAAAAAGCTACAACTCTTGTTGCACAGGTCCTGCTTGACCTCGGTCTTAACCATCCAGCAGAAAAGTATAAAAATGAAATATAAGAAGTAAAGCCATGCTGTTATGTTGAGGTATAGGGGACTGAGGTGAACAATTTCTGACACTGCCAGTCAAGCGGAAGACCTAATACTATTATGGACTACTGGACTCTTTTAGAATATTTTGCTGAGTTAACACACCCATAATATTCAAATAACGGAACTTAACAAAAAAAGGGTATACAGATGAATGTCCATTTTGTATCTGTGTATTCAAAGTGGCTAGGATAGTTATATAGTTACATTCTCTTAATGAATAGAGGGATTTGTTCTAATGGTGTTTGTAAATAGAATATCACGTCCACATCTTGTACAGCAATTAACCACTAGAAAGAATGTATAAAAAAAAAGAATGTATGCAATGTGTTAATTATTGAAACTATCCTACCAATTTGATTTGAAACTGTCTCATTGCTGTTTCTCAATAAAATTATGAAAAAAAATCAAGGTTTTACAAAATGGAAGTTAAAAAAATAAATATAGATCATGTAATCTGCTATAAAAAAAACTAATCCTAATTAAGTTCTCTGATTGGCATATTAGTGCCTGTTGCTTGGTGTTAATGAAGTATTCATTTGGGAATATGTTCAGGAATTATTTCTCTTGGTGAGAAATGATTTTTAAACTCTGTTAAAATCAACTAGTTGAGCTTTTTGTTTTTTTAGTGTGCTGAAGTTTGGGATTTGGGTGTGTAAGATTCATCTTAGGTCGGACTGCTAATTAGTGGCTGAGTCAGGAACTGACTCTGGGGCTTGCAGCCCTGGATACTGCTGGCCTTTGTGCACTGTCATACTGTCCCTCTAGATAAGGAGTGGGCATAAAATTGACTCAGATGATGGCATCAGCTTCCCAGCCCTGGAGAGCTTCATGTGTCCCTGACGTTGAGGTTCCCATAAACTACTTAAGTAGTGAACTCGAAGGCTTGTGAGCGGTGTTGGGTGACCTCCCTCTGGCAGCACTGACTTACGTCAGATCCTTTCTTTCATTCTGCACCTTAGCTCGCTCAGTTATTGGCGGAATTGAATTCAATGCCAGATTTCTTCCCAGTGCGAACCCCGCCCTCAGCTACTGTAAGTGGAACACTCCTCAAAATTATCCGCACGCGCTGGTATTCGTATCTGTTGCAGATGGCTTTTATCCAGTTGGGTCTGTCTGTGTTCTTGGTTTCAGAAGAAGAAAACAGTGCGACGGGCCTTCTCGGAGGGACAGATCACCAGGCGCATGAACCTGGCTCGAAGCGCGCGGCCCCCAGAGAAGTTTGCTCTAGAAAGCTTCACTGTCTCTGCCACGAAATTTGCAGAAGAGTTTTATAGCTTTAGAAGAAGGAAGACAATTAGTGGGGTATTTTCTGACTAATAAATGAATTATTACTGGCTTAACCCAGTGGTCCCCAGAGCGAGTGTGTATGGATTGGGTCTTTCGGGCTGGTCACCTGTGCAGTTTCTGGCCCTGGGAGTCCCAGCAGCTATGTGTCCAAAGGTTACGCTGAGGCCCCAGATCACATTTTGAGAAGAACCTTAGTCCGAGAGAGTCCTGCATCTACACTGAGCCGAGAAGCAGCTCACTGTTTACTCCCATGAGCTGAATTCTGCTTGATTGCTAGTAGAGTCTAAAAAGGCCATGGACAGCTCCAGTCAGCGCGATAGTTTGCATGTGGGGCATCCAGAGCTTCCTCTTGACTTTTCTGTCTCTGGATATGGGGCCTTTCCGGGGCCTTCAGTGTGTAGGGAGAAACTGGGCACTTATGTGGGCTTGGTTATGCAGTGTGGTTCACTTCCCTGTTTCCACGGAGTTTTCAGTAGAGAATCTCAGAGTCCAAGCCTCTTCAAGCTGCATCTCTGTGCCAAGAATGGAGCTTGGCTTGGGCAGGAGCATAGCAAATGACTGCAGAGATGAAGGTTTCCAGAGAAACAACAGAGCTTTCTTGGTTAACATTAGGGGTGTTAGATCTCAAGAAAGCTTAAGATTTTATTTTATTTTTTGAATGGCTCCACGCGTCTTATTCAAGGTTCCACTGTTGTTCATTTTGCAGGGGAAATGCCAGAGGTACAGACAGCGTAGGCGTTTATCTTCATTTCGGCCAGTGGAGGATATCACAGAAGAAGACTTGGAAAACGTTGCCATCACTGTTCGAGATAAAATCTATGATAAAGTTCTGGTAAACAACACATGAGTAGTTTGTGTCCTTGTGCTGAGGCCAGGGGTATCCAAAGCATTGGTACTCGAAATCCTCCCTCAGTTTTAAACTATGAGGGCTTGGGACCTGTCCTAGCTCCCTGAGGACTTAGCAGCAGGCTTTCAGGTATAGGGCCAAGGGCGAGCTATAGCTGGGAAAGGAAGATGGTGAGTGAGCGATCCTCTTCAGAAGAGGCCGCCCGAGGCGTGCAGATAATCTGGGGGGAAGCAAAGTATAGTTTAGAAAAGTGTATTTTTATCATTACACTTTTATTACTTACGTAGTCTACTACTGTACTTATTGAATAAATAGTGTATTGTGGGTAGTATCGCCACAGAAAAATGGAAGTTTGCCGATGTCTTTGGTTGACAGGAAATGGATTAAATGGTGTTCTAAATGATGACTTAAAGGGTGTCTTTGTGTCACTTCTTTTTGATAAGTGATGGAATGCTGTACTAAGGTAATATTAAAGTGTCTTTAATTGAAGTGTTAGCATTTTAAAATCAGAAGACTTTATGCTGTGCTAGGGAGCTGGCTGGAGCCGACTGGTGGTGTCTGAGTTTCCACACTCAGGCACTGTTGCTTTTTGGGGCTTGGCTGTTCCTGCCCCGGTCTCTTCTGGGCGCCCCTCCCGTCCTCTTAATTATTTATTCCTCCTGGGCTGATTGCCTCTCATGGGCATTTCTGGCCCCAGATGTAAAGTGCCTATATCTGGCAGAGGCTGCTGTGGCTCGTCCTGGGGAAAGGAGCCTGCCTGATTCTGGGAGGGCGGGAGTGTTGTGATGTGGATGACAGCCCGGCCCCACAGGCCCACTGCACAAACCCCGTGTTTACTGCTCACACTGTTCTCCGTAGGGTAACACCTGCCATCAGTGTCGGCAGAAGACCATCGATACCAAGACGGTGTGCCGGAACCAGAGCTGCGGCGGG